TGGAAGCATCAATATGGAATCAACTGATAATGGGATCCTATGGAATCACTGAAGAAGAACCTGAATAATTGAGGGGATGTCATTTAGTGTCATTCCAGGTGAAGAGATGGAATTCCAGAGTGGAAAATTAAAAATCATGGAATGGTTTGGGTTGGGAAGGACCTTAAAGATCAATAAATTCCAACTCCCAGCCCCACAAACTTCTGCAGAGGTTCATATTACAGATATTCTGGAATTACCCTGCAGAGAAAAAGGATAAAATGAGCAAAAATAGGTTTTTTTTTTCCTTCCCCACAGCCTGGAGTTGATAATTAGATCTGTAATTAGTAACACACAATATAGTTGCTTTGTTTATTTGGAAGTAATTTGTAATTCCCTGTCTACTAAAGGAATGTTAATTAATCCTTTGATGATCTCAGTGGGTCCCTTCCAACTTTAGGATATTCTGTGATTCCCTGATTAATTTTGACACCTTTTCTGCCAACATCCCTTGGAAGAGCTGCCTGGACATGGGAGAGAAAACCTCAATAAACAGAGCAGGAAGGAGAAATTCCATCGGTAAAATCGAATTATTATTTTGAAATAACATAGAGTTGACACATTTTAAAACTGTTTCACTGATTTTATTAATTGTTGCAGTAGATTGAACTTTTTCTCACCATGAAACTTTTTTATCTCTCGTTTCACACCCCACCCTCAGCCTGGATAAAACTCTTTGAACCACATTTCCCACTGATTTTTCTCTTTTATTCTGGTAAAATCCGTGTTTTTAGCAACAACTTCCTTTTGAAGGGCTGCACTTGGGGTTTAGAGCTGCAGTGGCAAAAATTGGGGGAGCAGCCAGAAAGATATTTATTATATTTATTATATTTATTATATTTATTATATTTATTATATTTATTATATTTATTAATTTATTTTGCCAGCACCTTCCATTGCTCCCCAGCAGTTTTATCTCGCAGCAGTGCTGCCTTCTGAATTATAAATATAATAATTCATAATAATAAAATAACAATGTAATAATTCAATAATAATATAATAATTTAATAATAATGTATATTAATTTAATAATATATAATATCTAAATTATAAATTATATATAAATTATATATAGCATATATAATATATAATATATTATATATAATGTATATAACATATATATTAATATTTAATATACAATAATATAATAATATATAATAATTTTATAATAATATAATAATATAATAGTTCAGAATAATACAATTCTGAATTTTATATACATAAATTCTAGGTAAACATAATTCAGAATAATAAAATTATAAATATAATTTTTATATTATAAATAGAAAAAATACAAATATAAAAAAATAAAAATAAAACAACTTAAAACCCCCCCACCTAAAATATAAAACATCTAAAACCCCCAGTTTTGCCTCTCCACGTGCAGGACTTTTTGCCTTGTAAATTAAGATATTTGTTGACTCTAATTTCAAATCTCACCATTTTTCCCCTTTCTTTCCTCATCCATAAACTTGGAAGCAGCAAATCTTGTCCTGCACGTGTTGTGGAGGAAGATGCTGAGTTTTACAGTGTAACTGGTTATGGGAAATGTCATAAATTTGGGTGTCAAGCCCTAAACTATCCACAGGATTTAAACCACAAACTCTTCCAGGGGCTGAATCCATCAGGCAAGAAAAATTCCAGTCATGCTGTCGCTGTCCTGTTTTGTGGAATGTGGATGGGGTTGGGAAGGGATCCCAAAAATCTTAAGGAGCTGCACAACAAATTTCAAGCGACACATTTACGGAATAAAGCAAAGCACAGCTGAGAAAAGGAGGAGATAAATATATTTTCCTGGCTCTGAAGTCCTCGTAGGATTTTACAGCTCGTGAGCAGAATAAAAGGGAGGAGGTTTAATCCGTGAAGAGATAAAGATGAATTTTGCATTGAGATGAAACAGCGCTTTTTAACTCCGAATACTTTGTCCCAGAGTAATTTGGTGTGTGTGTCTTTGCACCCAGCAACTCTTTGAATTCAAAAGGCTTTTCAGAATTGCTTGAAGTGCTCTGTTAATGTGCAAATGCTGCAACTCACAGCTCTGGGTAACAGCAAATGAACCCAATTATGATAATTCTCCCGCAGCTTCAGCACTTTTTGCTCTGTGTATTTATCATTTTGTGTTCAGTGGGTGCCACAAAGAGCAGAAAGCAAAGTCTGTCCACCCACTTTCATCTCTCCCGAGCAAAGGAGTGAATTGAATTAAAGCATTGAATTATATCACAGATCCCAAATTCGGGGGAGAAACTCTGTATCCAAAGTCCAGGGAAAAGTTATTTCCTGCTGATTTCCCCAGCCTTGAGAATAAACAGCGCTCAGTCTTTCTCTGGGGTTCTGCTCTGAAATATTTCACCTGCTTTGGGAAAGAAGAACCCCAGTAAAACACCTTTTTTTTTTTTTTTTGCAGTAGAAGATTTGTGAAGAGCTGCATTTCATGCTCATCTGCACAGTTATATAAACGCTCAGCAAAACTGCACAGGAATTGTCTGGGTGAGTATTTTTATTCTTATTGCAGTTTCTTCCTTCCCGGATAAAATATTTCTATATGTGGTCCAGAAACTTTGAAAGAATTTAAATATGCCAAAATCTTTTTTAAAAGCCCCGTTTTATAGAACAGAGATCTTTCCCCAGCTGATGTCGGGCATTGTCTGTGATATCTTTATTTTAAGCTCGTCACAAGATGTACTGATGCCTCAGACTTGGAACAAATTTTAATTCTCCTCTTCAAGAGGAGGAAACTTGAGTGAAGGTGAAGATTTCAGGTCAGAAGTGGAACTTTCATGTTGCCTTTTGTTTCAAGTCTTAGTTTTGCTGAGAGATTTGCAGGAATTGTCCTGCCCTTTCTGCTGGAAAATTTCAGCAGCAGTTGGTAACTGGGAGAGGGGGCTGAGTAAGTGAGAGGCAGGGTGATGCTCCTGTCCTTCTCAAGGCTTCCCTTATAAAATCATGGAATGGTTTGGGTTGGAAAGGACTTTAAAGATCACTTCATTTCAGCCCTCTGTCATGGGCAGGGACACCTTGCACCGGACCAGGTTGCTCCGAGCTCCATCCAACTTGGCCTTGAACACTTTCAGGGATGGGGCATCCACATCTGGGCAGCCTGATCCCTCCTTTCCCGGGATTCCCCGGATTTTCAGGATTTGCGGGCTCACAGGCCCCGCCACCTCCTGCCTTCCGCCGCGTCAGCGTTGCCAAGCAACGCCTAAAATGGCGGCGCCCTCGCAAGGCACGCCGGGAGTTGTAGTCCAACGCCTAGCCGCCCCCGCGTCCGGCCCGCGGCGCGGGACTCGCTCTCCCATCATGCTCCGCGGCGCCGCGCGAAGGGCCGAGCGAGCGCATTTACCTGCGGGGAGCGGGGCACAGGTGGGGCGAGTCGCGGGGGCTTCTGGGAGTTGCAGTTCCGGAAGGAGGGCCCGCTAAGGGAAGCGGGGCGGTGGGCGGCGGCCACGGGACTACAACTCCCAGGGGGCAGCGGGGGCGGCGGGCAGGGCGCCGGCGGAGGGCGGGGGGTACGAACGGGAACCTCGGTGGTGCTGCCGCGGTGGGGGCTCAGGTGAGACTGCAGGTGAGGAGGGGGAGGAAGAGGAGGAGGCGGGAGCGGGCTCGGGAGGTGACCCCCGGGGCAGGCGGAGAGCCCCGGGTGGTGCCCCATTGTTCGCGGGGTCCCGGGGTGGCATTTGGTTTGCCGAAGGGGGCGAATTCCTGGGGGGAAAAGCCCCCACCCCGATGCTCTGAGTGGGGAGGGCGGAGGTGGTTTGGGATGAGGGTGAAGATGGGCAGAGTCGCCCCTCGTTGGCTCCTGGTACGTTTGGGAACGAATCCCCTCCTTCTCATCACCCACCAAAACTCTGGTTACTTTATTTCCTAATAAACCATGTCAGTTTAAACAGGATTTTTTCTCAACCTGAGATTTTTGGGGTTGTGGGCAATTGGTGTAGTTGGTTACGTTTCTTTGGGTTTTTTTTGTTTGTTTTTTTTTTGTTCGTTTGGTTTTTTTGTTTTGGTTTTTTTTTCTCCCAAACTTCCCCCCAATACACGCCTCAATAACACTGATTTTTGTTGCAGCCTTTTGGGGTAAAAAAAACCCCCAAAGCCCTAAACAGGCCATACAAACATTGGGGTTGTTCAGCCTGGAGAAGAGAAGCTTTGGGATGACCTGATTGTGGCCTTCCAGTGCCTGCCAAAAACATGGAGAGGGACCATTTACAGGGGCTGGAGCACCAGCACAAGGGGGAATGGCTTCACACTGGCAGAGAGTAGGGTTAGGTGGGATGTCAGGAAGGAATTATTTGCTCAGAGGGTGGCACTGGCACAGGTTGCCCAGAGAAGCTGTGGCTGCCCCATCCCTGGGAGTGTCCAAGGCCACGTTGGAACACCCTGGGCTAGGGGAAGCTGTCCCTGCCCGTGGCAGGGGCTGGGACTGAATGACTTTGAAGTTCCCTTCCCACCAAAACCATTCCACCATTCTGTGATATGTCCCTTTTTCCAATCTTTCCCTGTAGCATATTCATTCCTGCTCTGGGTTTTTTCAGGCTGCAACAACTGCTGTAACAGCAGTAAATGGTGTTAATGAGTGTTTGCCCAAGGCAGGTGTGCAACAGCTTTTGCAGCAAAGCCTGGCTTAAGGTAGATCCCCTTGGAGCAGGAGGTGTGTGGGTTTAATTGCTGGTTGCATAATCCTGGGGATGGAGGGGGTAGGACAGGGGGTTCTTTTCACTGGGGCACGTTCAGGAAGCTGGAAAAACGAGTCCTCCTTGTGCTTTAACTTGATAAAAGATTGTTTTGCTCCCTTGTCTGATGTTCTGCCACTGCAGGTTTGTTGGGAAACAGTTGCAGTGTCGGGGAGGAATTAGCAGCTAAACCACAAACCTCGGGGGTTTGGGGTTCCCTGAGGAGGTTGCAGAGGGACTCCTGTGTGCCTGTGAGCTGGTAAGTGAGAGTTTAAACTTTTACAGCCCTCTGAGACTGCATTTTGACTTTTCCTACTCTCAGGATTAATTCAGGGCGCATCAGAATTTTAAGAAGGCTTTGAGTGTGGAACAGTTTCAAACTCTGCTGAGCTGAGGGAATTACGAAACCACCCGAAATTCAGGTGAAGTTTCTTTTTGTTGCCACCTTTTTTCACGTACCTGAAGGAATCTCCTTGCTCAAAATAATAATAAAAAAAGCTCCAGCAACACTTGAAGCAAGAAAGATCCTGCTAATACAGCAGAAATCATGGATACACAGAAACTGCAGGGAAAGAGATAAATTAAAGGAGTGGGAGGAAAAAATCTTGCAGTGCTTGGTGTTGATGAATTGTTTGTGTTCCTTTTTAAAAGCAGGAAGAATTCCCTCAGTGGCTGTGTTTCACTGCTGTGTGTGTGTGTTGTGGAGCTGACAGTGATTTGAGGTTTGGTTCAGATAGGAAAACTGGGGTGTGAAATCCTCGTTTGCATCGAGGCGTCTGCGTTGGCTCCTGAAAGAAAAACACTTCCCAATCCGGGCTCTGTTTTGTGCATGGCATTATCCCTTCTCCCACAATCCAGAGGGAAAGCCCTGCCAAAGGAAAAACGTGGTTTATGCTAAAGAGCTTCGCTGTGGGTGTTTGAGTCCCGAGAAAATTCACGGATGGTGGAATCTTGGGGCGGTTTGGGTCGGGAAGGACCTTAAAGCTCATCCCGTTCCACACCTTTCCAGCCACTTCCAGCCCGGCCTTGGACACTTCCAGGGATGGGGCAGCCACAGTTTCTCTGTGCCAGGCCCTCACCACCCTCACAACAAGGAATTTTTTCCCAATATTTACTCCCAACCTGCTCTCACCCTTCATTTCAAAGCTGAACCTTCAGCTCCTCTCAGCCAGCATCCGTATATATTGAATATCTTGGAAGGCTTTGGGGCTTTTTTTGCCTTCTAAATTTCAAATTAGTCTCTAAAATATCGACACTTATGTTTGATTGTGGCTGGAAAGCAGGAAAAGAGTCGTGTTCTTTCCATGGTTCTGAACAGTGAGGCCAATGAACTGCACAAATCCCTGCTGGAAGTTGCTGGCTTGGAATTCTACCCTCAGTTTATTCCCTGACTCTTTCCAAGAGCTGTGGTTTTAGGAACACTATATATATGTTTTTCATGTTGTTGCATTTAAAGAATAGAGATGCTGAAATCTGATATTTTTTTCTGGGAATTATCCTCAAAAAAAAAAAAAAAAAAAGTAGATATTTAGTGTGACCTTCATGGCTTGAATTTCAGCCTCATTCAGAGGGAGTTATATATATTATTATATATAATATTTATTTATAAATAATATATATTTAATATACATAATATATCAATATATAATGTATCAATATATAGCATATTAAATATGTTATATATTTAATACATTAAATGTATGTTATATTTTTATATATAATATTATACATTATAAATATATAATATATATCTATATATTATAAATATATAGTATATATGTTTTTATATAATATTATCTATTATACATTTATATATAATATTATATATTTGATATATTAAATATATATTATAGAAATAATATATATAAATACATTCACTTTATTATATCTTGGATATAATAATATATAGTATAAATAATATATATTTAAATATATATTATATATATTATTATTCTAGTTAGATATTATGTTCTATGATTATTCTAGTTGTATATTATGGTAATAAAAATATATATTATTATTATTATTAGGCTGCTAATTTTTCCTGGCTGATCAAGAATCCACCAGGATGTGAAGAACTAATTCTGGGGCTTGAATATAAATATTATATAAATATGAATATATAAAATATGAATATATAAAATATGAATATATAAAATATGAATATATAAAATATAAATGGATTAAATATATAAAATATAAATGGAGTAAATATATAAAATATAAATGGAGTAAATATAAAAAATATAAATGGAGTAAATATAAAAAATATAAATGGAGTAAATATAACATTTTTAATCTCAGCTGCTTTAAAGGAGCTTGTTCAGCTCAGCTTTCCTTTCCCAGCCAAACCAAACCTGTGTAGATCCATATTAAGCTGAGATATTGTGTCTCTCTCTCATGGAAATAAAAATTATTGGCTGATGATTTGAGGGCAGATTGATCCCGTGTCCCATTTGTGCTGGAACAGCTGCAGGGCAGATGTTCTGGATTGTGTTTGGGAACAAAAGTCTGCCCATCAATGCACCAATATTGGTGCTTGGTGTCCTGAGTTATTCCAGGCATGGAAATACAGCCATGGAAATACAATATTGAGCTAATCTGGGTGGCTGCATCCCCAAAAAAGGAGGATTTACCACTTAAAAGTGGCTCTTTTCACAAATATTTTATCATTTATCATTCCACTCGGTCATGGAAATTATCTTTCTAGGTAAGAAGGGATTTATTGTTTAAATAAACCTGGCTTTTCTTAGTGTTTGCAGCTGTTAGAATAATCAGGTGTTGGCAAAAATCTGTGCAAAGCATCCAAACCAAGGAAAAAAATCAATCAGCAATTATCTTTCCCAAAACTTCAAACTGGTTTTTCCCAGGAGGAATTCTTGGGCAGCCAAAGGAGCAGGAGCTCATTTTTGAAGGGAAATTGTAGAAACCTGATGAGAAGACAAACCCTTAATATTAAATAATAACAAACAAAACATAATTAACATTATTTTGCTTCAACTGGAAGGGTCAGGACAGTGCAAGGTTAGGAATTAGTTGGACCAGCAAGGCTGGAGTGTGATTTTCAGGATTTTCAGCCCTTGATCTTGGAGCTTTCACTGATACCAGGGGATAATAATAAGTTTTTCCCAGCAAGCTGAACTAATCTTATTTTGAAGTTTGAAGCTCTTTGTAAGTGATTTAAGGACAAAAAAAACCCAACAAAACAAAACAAAAAACCACCTGGAAATTAATCATAGGAACTGCTGAGTGATTTTTGTTCTTCAGAAAAAAAAAACCAACTTGCCAAGGGTCATGATGCAGGAATTTCAAACACAACCAGTGGGTTTGTATGGAACAAAAATAGGAACAAATTTCAGTTGGTGAAATGAGTCACTAAAGGAGTTTTCTCTGACAGTTGGAGGGGGTTTTTTTGTTGGTTTTTTTTTTCTCACTTTGCTCTGGTTTGAGGCTCTTCTCTGTCCCCAGGTTCGATTTCTAAGGAGGAAGATGATTTTTCCTCAATCCAGGCTGCTGGTTTTTTATCTCAAATAAGAGAAACTCTTTTTCCTAAATCCAGGCTGCTGGTTTTTTACCTCAAATAAGAAAGACTCTTTTTCCTAAATCCAGGCTTCTGAGCCCAGCATTGTCTGGAGCAGAGAACAGGCAGATTTATATGTTGACACAGGGTGGGGCTCACGCTGCAGATCAAACGGGATGTGGCGCCTTTGATTTTCAACCAAACGTTCATTTATTGATTTATTTTTACTTTACATTTCTTTGTTTACACCTTTATTTATTGTAACCAAACATTTAATGCCAGAAACACGGAACCTGGGTGGAGTCACGTGGCAGTTTGAGGAGGAAAAAAACCCAGAGCTTGGTGCAGACTGACCGAAATATTCTGTTTAAACTCGAGAAGGTCGGTTCTGGGGCAGCTCAGAAATACAATTTATTAACTTCATTAACGCTCCAGAGCTCGTTAATGCTGCCAGGGGAGAAGTGAAGTGCAGTGCTGCCTCTCCTGGGTGCCCTGTGCTGCTCCCAGTCCATCCCAGTTCACGTGGAGCCCCTGACTGGGGGTTATCACTGGTGGTGCCAGGCAGGAACTGCTCGTTGGGATCCCATCGATTTTTTTTTTTTTTTTTTTTTCCAGATCCTGGGTGTGGAATCGTCTCTGCATGGCCCAGTTTGGAACAGACTGATAAGGCTCCTTGTTTCTTAGCAACCCCAGCTCTGCCACAGCCAGAAACCTGCCCTTCTGCAGCTGGAGGGAAAATTCTGAATGTCTCAAAAGCAAACCTTAAACCGAGGTAAGTCCTTCTTCCTCCCCCCCCCCGCCTTGTGTTTAATTTAAATTTGCCTCCAATAAAAGGGATGTGCTTGGGCAAAAGTTCCTTAACAAGGGCAAAACATAACTTCTGTGTCTTTAATAAATCATTTCTTTCCCTGGTTTTATTTAGACCTGTGTCTTTCCTGGGCATGGAGGTGCCATATGTCCTTCTCTTAACACGACTGGTGGCAGAAGTTGCCAGCAAATCCACACAAAACTCGGTAGGTCCTTGGTGGGTTTTGTCTTCCCAGGTGCTCTAAAACCAGAGGGATTATTTTCCTCTCCTGCTGCAGTTTCCAGAAAGCTGTTTAATTCAGCAGAAATTACCTGTACTGCTCTAAAATGAGCATTCAGTGACACTTTTCCGGTGGCTCAGTTTGCTCTGGTTGCCTTTTAAAGCAGGGAATTCTCCCTGGCCATGTCCATGTAGGGATGCAACTGCTAAAACCTCCCAAAAAACACCCTGATGATCAAAAAAAACCCCCCACTTTTTAAGCTGCTTGACAGTTTGACTGCAAATAAATAATCAACCAAACCACAGGTACCCAAAAGTTAACTTTGTAAACCACTGAGGAGCTCTGAAACTTCAAGTCACAGAAGCATAAAATCCTGCTTGAAGGAGGGTTCAACCAACAAACCTTTTGAAGAAACTGGTCTTAGGCATTTTATCTATAAATCTTATTTTTTCCAGTGTGGAATCACCCTGCTAATTTCAGTTTTAACTGTTTGATCTGCACTTTGATCTCTGTCACCTTCCCGTTTGATGCTGTTGGCTGAGAAGCACAATAATATTTGCTGTTATATATTAGGGATATTTAAATCACTTCTGTGGCTGAATTTAGGGCAGGTCTCGTTACTTTTGACTTTTTTAAGACTGATTTGGAAGTTTAGTGGCTTTTTGTGCAGATTCAGAATAACTTGGATGAACTCAAGCCTCTGTGAGATGTTATTAATATCTATCAAAAGAACCACACTGTTCCCAACAACCATTTCTCTCCGAGCTTTGTGTCCCAGCTTGTTGTAATTTGTAAATAATTTGGGAGCTGGCTTTTATATAAACAAATAAAAATCAACTCCATGCCTGCAGGATACATGTTTTTCTTTTATATTAAATATTGAAGGAAGAAGCTCTTGCAGCTGTGCTGGGTTGCTCTGAGGTGTTGTCATCCCTTGGAATATTCAGTGAAAACTGGGGTTTTCCAGTCATTTTGCCAGCAGTTTTTCCATGTTTGTGGAGCTGTGGGAAGCAGAACTGCCCCTCTGAACTCTCCTTCACTGATGACCTCAGTAATTATATTTCTAAAGCAGTTTTTGGAGGCTTTTCCCAACGTCACAAGCACAGTGTGCTTTGTTTCAGGGTTATTAAGGAGCAGCTTCCACTGTGTTCTCTCCTTGAAAAACTGCTTCATGCAGAAAGGAAAACTTAAATTTTAACTGAGTTGCTGCTTGTTCCTCTACATGCCCTGGAGATAATTAATTAATTAATTATTGTTGATGAAGCATTTTAATAAAGGTGGGAAACACCCTGTGATTTCTTTTCTCAGGTGTCAGAACCAGAATGTTGTGTGGATTTGTTGGATTCCAACAGCTCCTGTCCAGCAACCAACCAGTGCAGTCCAGGTATAAATTGTTGTTGCTTAATAAAATCATGATTCTGTGATTTTTATTTTATTTTTATTTTTTTTTATTATTTTATTTATTTTATTTTAATTTATTTTATTTTAATTTATTTTAATTTATTTTATTTTTATTTATTTTATTTTATTTTTATTTTTATTTATTTTATTTTTATTTATTTTATTTTATTTTTATTTATTTTATTTTATTTTTATTTATTTTATTTTATTTTTATTTTATTTTATTTTAATTTATTTTTATTTATTTTTATTTTAATTTATTTTTGTTTATTTTTTATTTATTTTATTTTTATTTATTTTTATTTTTTTAAAATTTTATTATTTTATTTTTTAAATTATTTTATTATTCCCATGGTTTGAGTGAGAAAAGACCTTAAAGCTCATCCAGTCCCACCCTCTGCCACGAGCAGGGACACCTTCCACCATCCCAGCTTGCTCTAACTTGGCCTTGGGCACTTCATGGGATAAAAAATTCCCAGTTTTTTTATTATTTTTTTTTTAATTAACACCAAAGTACCTGATTAATTGGGGACTAAAAACAAAATAATGAATGCATGCACACATCAAAGTCTTTCTTCCTCTAACGCTGCTCATGACTCACAAATATTGTCCTGTCGTGGCTAAAAGGGAATAAAATATTATTGATGAGGTTATTCTTTATTTCTTTTTATTTATTTAGGGTGCACTTGGATTATGTAAGAGCTGCTGGAAATGCTTAAGAGCCCTAAAAGCCCATATAATCAGCATAAACAGCCAAAAATGCTGTAATGTGTATTTAAGGCAGTGTTAAGAATCATTTCAATGGTTTTTTTTGGCACAAAAAGCCTCATTCTTCCTCCTGCCCTTGTGCCTGGAGTTGTTTTCTCCTAAATGGAGTTAAAAACTTCTTTTGTCAGTGAAAGGTGGTCCTTTTTTAATGCCATTTTATTTCCAATCTGGGAATAAAAGCAGGAAAAATTCCTCCAGAGCCCACAGGACCAAGAGAATTAGTGACTTTAAAATTGGGGTCCACCCTGTGATGGTTCTTTGGGTGTTTTAAGCCAAACTTCATTAACTCCTCTAACAGTTGCTTCATTTAATACATTAATTTTTGCTTCTAAATGATCTTAGAAACAGATATCATTAGAAACAACTGCCTCCAAATTGTGGGATTCTCTTAAATCTTCCTGTAATCTGAGAATCTCCCAATACCTTTGGTGTCACATCCAGAAAGTCTTTGCCTTTCCCTTGTGTTCAGATGAAATATCAGCTGTAATTTATGATTTTTGGGGCATCAAACCTCGAAGGAAAATGGTTTGGAATCAGCACCTTACCAATGGTTTTGCTTTATGGGGATAATTGATACCAATTTTTGGCTCAAGGCTCTCCCAAGAACTGGATTTTTAACCAGCAACAGGAGGAGAAAACAACTTTATTAGGGCAGGATTTGGATTTTAACTCACCATCCTTCAGGTGATTGAATCCAGGGATTCCAGCATTTTTCCACCCTTTCTGGTTCTTGTCCCTGCCTATTGTATTTCCAATATTACATATATTTAAATTACATTAAAATTTGGTTTTATGACCTCTAAAACCAGTAAAATTACTCTTTTTGTTTTGTTTTTTTTTTAGTATTTTTGAGTGTTACTTATAATTTTTTAGACAAAACTCTGCTGCAAACTCCACCACGGGAAGCAGGGAGTGGAGTTGGGTTGGAATTACCTTTGGGGAGTTGTTTGCTTGTAACTCTTCCTCCTTTTTGCCCTTTTTTTTTCTGGAATTAATGCTTTGAAATTAAAATAATCCAACAGAAATGAAATGAAATGAATAATGCAAATAATTGTGATAGATCAGGAAGCAGGAGGTGCCTGTAACCAGCAGAGCAGAGGGAATTTCTGCCTCTTTTGGGGGAAAAAATACCCAAAGAA